CTGACAAATGGATCAAAGCCGGAGGAGCTGAGCATTCTCTGCTTTTTGCATCAAGGTTGGGGTTAAGGAAGCTAAGGAGAGAAGGGAAGGCAATATAACCCTCTGCCTTAGTGCTCCAGCAGCATCCTCTGAGTGTTTTAAAAGCATTCAGAACCTGTGAGAGTTGGGCACAGATATATGGGGGATTGTGTAGAAACCTTACTCAGCATGGAGACCCATCCCTTCCTGCAAACAATCAGCTCTCTGCAGAGCTACTGCCTCCATGCCCATCACTCCGACCGCATCAAAGGTGTTAGAGGCCAGTGAATCAGATGAAAAGGCAGACAGGCCACTGGGGAAAGCTCTTGTCTTACAGAAGGCCTGAATCACTGGCACAGAGGGAACGAGAAGTTAAGAGGCAGTGTGGTGGTACAGCACAGAGCCGGGCGGCTCCCCCAGCACAGCCATACTCCAAGTGTTCCCCTCCACTTCCTTAACAGAACACGGACAACTTTGCACAATGGTAACAAATCAGCCCATCCCCACACCCACCCCAGGCAGGGGCTGAAGCATCGATACTGTGGCTGCTTTTGGAGCTGAACAGACACAAAAGGTTGGCTGGGCACTGCTGGGGCTGCTGGCACAGTGAGGATCCAACATCCGCCTGGCTCCGGCCCTGCAGCCATACAGCCCCACTGGCAAACACTCCTTTTGGAGCCTAGAGAAAGCACAGAGCTGACCAAGGGAAAGCTGTGGGGACTTCTCTCTGGCCTTTCTCTGCATAACACCAGGAATAAAAATGTATCGGGATAAGAAAATGAAAAGGAGGTTCCTGTGCTGTCTCAGTGCTGTCACAATATTGTCATCACTGGCAGAGCGGTGCAGGATGGACGGGGTGGGCAGGTAGATGGCTGAGGAGCTGAAAGCAAAATTCAGGCCTTCAGAATGGTGTGACAGCTTAAAACAAGCCCAGCTCACTCACCAGCCCATCAGCCAGCTTGGGAGCCCGTGTGTGACTGCATGCCATATGCTGGACCTCTCAAAATCAACTTCTAAGTGAAAAAAAGCTTCAGAAGAGCAATAAGCCATCAGTGCCACAGCCTGCTCATACTCTCACGATGGTACAGATTTCTGCCAGTGCAGCAGGAGAGGGGAGCAGGAGCACATCTCCCCTCTGAGCCATGAGTCACATCCCTGCTCAGATGGCCCTTTCTCCATCCATTTCCCAGCTGAGAGCACTGCAGGCTGTATGCTGCCTCACCCGGCCCCCCAGCTCCTCGTATGGGAAGAAAGGTGGTGGGACACAGCTTGTGCCTGAGCCAGGGAGAGGCTTTATCTCCCTGTGGTGACCCTCACACACTGAACTCTGGGCTACAAATGAGCTTTTATGCTTTTATGGCACTGACTTGGTTTCCTATCAGCACTGATGGGTTGAAAAAGGTTATCAGTGTTTTGCATCTTGCAAAACTGGGAAATATCAATTTCCTGCAGACATCAAGGCTCAGACTAAAAAAACCCACACTGTATCACCTACATGCACAGCTTACATATGCACACAGCAACTGCCCACACAGAAGAGGTACTGTTCAAAAGTCATGTAACAGCATACCCAGGTTATGCAACTGCATTTTCATCCCTATTTCTTGCCATACTAGTATGCATTTTCTCCCACAGCTGTTTTTCTTCTTAGAGGGCTTAGAGATCTACAACCCACAGGTCTCCAAAAATCCCATTATTTTAGTTCTGTACTTATGCCATTAGTGGCAAAGCAGAGTACACTGTTATTACTGAAAAAGTACTTCCAGGCTGGTGAACCTGAGCTGGGTGGCTGGCTGCCCTTTTCCATAAGAGAAATCACCAACAGCAATCAAACACCAGAAATACAATCTCATCAATAACCAGCAGTTCTATTCAAACCCTTAACACTCCAAATTCTTCCTATGAAACTCTACTACTTCCGTTCCCTTTGCCATTCCCTTTTTCCTTTTTTCCTCTTTCCCAGCTTGTCTGCACACCCCCATATTCCTTGCACTTTGGGAGAAGCCAAGGGCAGACTGCTCCCAAAGCAGTGGGAACGAAACACTGGAAATGAAGCTGTTTGTGGCAGTCTGCCCTTGGTCTCCTGCAACATTTCAGCTGTAGAAAGCAGCAGACGGACCAGCTGCCCGTCCAGCACACAGCTACAAATATTTGCTGTTGAAAGACCTTTTTTTTCCCCAAATGCAGACTTTTTTTTTTCAGTGCTGGTGATGATGGCAGGGAGACACCCAGTGGCTGTGTGCAATGCAAGCCGTCACCCTGCACAATCCCACCATTCCATGTCCTCTCAGGTGGCAGAAAGGACCTTTTTGGGGTTTGTGAAGGCCAGCATACCCCTAGGGTTGTTGCAGACAGTTCACCTGGGTAAGCTGGGGCAGAGCATCACCGGTTCTCCTGGTGTCACACACAGCTGTGACCCAAGGATCAGCTCCAAGGTACCATAGCAGTGACACAGGCGGGGCTGCAGGGAGATGCAGGTAGGTATGCTGCAGGTCTGGAGCCTCCTCTTTGTGGATACATCACAGATGGAAACAGTGACACTACACTAATAAGAGAGAAGCTAGAATTATTTATTGATATAATATAGATATGATACAATGCTTAACAAAGCTTGATTGTAAATAAGTACACAACAGGATTCGAGATGGCTGGATACATTGGATTGCTTACTGATGAAGGGCAGGGAAAAGCCACACACATAGGAGCTCCTCCCATTGAGTCACGCAGTTGAGAGCGGACCCCTTTTCTTTCTAAACTGCTTGAACCACAGAGGTAAGGAGCTGGATCCACTCCTAGTGCCACACTTGGTCAGTAGTTTATGTCTAAGGGGATTATACAGGCACTAAGATACGATCTTAGCAAAGCTAACAAAGCCTAAAGCAAACTGTTGATCACTTATTGAGGATCTGTGTTGGCAAGGCATCGTGGCACCAACGTGTAAAGGATCTGTGCAGGCATAACCTCCAGGGCATCCCCGCTCCAGGGCAGATCCTGTCATTCTGCCATGCAGGAGAGCTCAGGGACTCTTGGGCCACTCACTATTTATGGGGTCAGATGATGGATTTGTGGTCATACGTTGTTTTTTAGCCACATGCCAACCGGCTCTCTGCTGTTGAACTGCCCCCCAGTTTGAGACAGGTCTGTGGCCATGAATCTGTTTAGCCCAAGTGCTGTGAGTGCTGTTGCTCACAGTCCTCCTGTGCAAGGGCCGAGGGAGGGAGCTGGGGGAAGCAGTGTGTATGGGGGGAGCACACCAGCACGATACACACCTGCTGGGATTTTTCCACTCTCAGATAGCTCAGCACTCATTACAGCATCCCGGCCATAAAAACTTGCAGTCCATCAGCTTTGTTTCTACTCCACGCTCCCGCAGAGAGGACTGCATTTTAATAAACATACTCATAGTTAGAAACAGACTGCTTCAAAGGGCTCTGCAAACACAACACAGCTCTGGCATCACCGGGAGGCAGGCAGAGCAGTGTTTGTACAGATGGGGCGGTGGGCAGGGAGGGCGGCGTGCTGGGGGTGTGGGGGGCTCTGATCGGGGTCTCATTAGCTCACATCCACCTGCTCCCACTGCGTTGCAAGGCCCGGGTCCAGCACCCTGCAGGAGCCTCGGCGACTGCGTGCTGCTGCAATCACCCTCTGTGCAGCCCAGCATGCCGGGCTACGGGGAAGTGCTGCAGGGCTGTGCGCGGGGCAGATCTGGGGCTGCACAGATTAGCAAGCCTTTGCGGCATCCCTTACAGCTTGAAAAACAAAAGAAAACAACACGGATCGTGGCCTCGGGGCAAAGCTGTATCTGAGTCGGTGGAACCCGCGCCCCACGCTGGAGCCGAGCACTCGCCCAGTGCCTCCTCTGGCAAGGAAGTGAATGCGCGCCGGGCACGGGCAGCCCGCAGCGCTAGGACACTTGCACCGCGCGGGCCGCGAACCGCGGAACTTACAGTTGCGGGGCGGCGACGTTGCCGCTGCGCCACCGCCAAAAGCTTCCTCAGTCCGGCTCGCAGCCTTTTTCCCTGCCTCACCGCCCCCAGCGCAGCGCAGCGCAGCGCCGCGCACAGCACAGCACGGCACAGCACGGCACGGCACGGCACGGCACGGCACGGCGCGGCACGGCGCGGCACGGCACGGCACGGCGCGGCGCGGGGCGGGGCGGGGCTGCGAGGTTCGCCCCTCCGTTCAGCCGATTCTCCGTGCGGCTCCGTCACAGCAGCAAGAGGGAACAGCGTTCCCTTCTCCTAAGGGGCACAGAACCTCAAGTCATTTCTGAAGGCGTCAAAGCTCACGGAGCACTTAATGCACAGGACTGGTCGCTCTGTACCACGGGGTTCATAAACTTCCTCTGGGCCGTGTTACATTCACACCCTTAAATCATGAATCAGTTAGTATAAGGAAAAGCTACCAAAACCCACCAATACCTCCCGCAGGTAGGCAGGACATCACAGTGCAAGCAGATCGCCATATAAACCTACAAAACCAGAAATCTGCAGCAGACTTCTTGCTTCAATTGATGTTTCTCAGCAGAAAACTGCTCCTCATTAACAACTGTTGCGTATACTTAACAACAGAATATCAACTGAAAATTAACTCAAAATTACTATTGAAAAGAAGAAAGAACTGAACCTGTCCCGTGTTTAGTGTTCTATTTCAGCCATTGTTCATATCCTGAAATTCAGAGTCTTGAAATCTTTTAAGACATGCAGAGGCCATGGTCACGGATTGAAACACTTTGTAGTCTGAGTAAAACAGACATCTGTTTTCCTTAATGACCTTTTCTTGATGCTCTGTAGGTACCCGCAGGCCCCGTCACCTCCCAAGAACCCGCAGTCCCTGGGCTGAAAAGATTACCAGCTGTTGTACCTGCACAGAGAACAGGGCCCATGGAGCGGAGCTGCTTTTCAACAGCAACATCTAACGCTGAGGTCAGAAGTGACCTCCAGTACTCACATCTCACCATTATTTGGGTAACTTTACAACGGTTAGAAATCCAATCCAATTTATTTCATATGAGACACTATTATCAAAATAGTAATCTGTGCAATAAAAGGAGCTGGAAGTATAAATAACCTCCCAGGCAGAACCAAGCAGGAGCATTTCCCCATCGCTGCCTGCTGTCACCCAATCATGGACCTCTTCCTCCCCCTGAGCCGCACCTCATCCAGCCGTTTGATCACTGGGCCGGATTTCTTAGATGCGGCCGCATAGCTCTGCAGCAGAGCCTGGAACACAGTTTCTGTATCGGGATGGGTGCTAAGGAAGGCTTTTTCCAGCACATACAGATCGACTCCCTTATCCTCAGGAAGAGCCGAAACAAAGCTGAGCCCAAAGTCGATCAGCACCAAGTCCAGCTGCTCCGCGGGCGGCCGCAGCAGCACGTTGGACGTCGTGAGGTCCCCGTGGATGAGGTCCTCGTCGTGCATCCTGGCCAGCAGCTGGCCCATCTTCTCTGCCAAGCCGAGCAGGCTGCCGGCATCGCTGCCGCTCCGCTGCACGGAGTAGATGTGATCCTGAACAGCGATCGCGCCAACGATATCTTCCAGGTAGATGCAGTTGGACGCATAATCCACGAAGTAGACCACGGGAGCCGGGATCCCTGTTTCAGAACAACACAACACAACGAATGCAACGCCGGCCGCAGGCGGGCGGGAGCTCCCGGCTCCGCGTGCCCCCCGGCACAGCGACGCCCGCCCCGGCAGCGCCCACCTGCCCGCCGGCAGCGCAGCAGGGATCGCGCCTCCTGCGCCGTGCGCCGCCGGCCGAGCCGCTCCTCCAGCGCCGGGTGCCGGTAGCGCTTGGGGACGCGGAGCTTGGCCACGGCCGCCCGCCCCAGGAAACTGCCCCGGTAGACGCGCGCCTCGGCGCCCTGCTGCACCAGCTGCAGCCCGGGTAGCGGCGGCGGCGCCGCCTCGGCCCCGCCAGGGCCCGGCGCACCCGTCTCGGCCCCGTCCCGCCCCGGGCCCGCGGCCCCGTCCTCCGCCCCGGCCGTGCCCGCGCCGCCCGCCGCCGCCGCCATCACCGGGCCCGCCGCAACACCGCGCATGCGCGTCGCTCGCCGCTTCGGCAATCCTCGGCGGCCGGCGCCGGAAAGCGTCGAGCTCGGCGCGCTCCTCCGCCCCCAGCAGGGGATCCCCCACGGGACGGCGCGGCACCGCGACGGAGCTGCGGCTCGGGTCGCGTGCCGGAGCCGTGCGTGCGTCTCTGCCTTGGGTGTCCGCACACCCACAGCTCCACGTGGGTGAAGGACGGCCAGCCCTCACTGCCTGGAGCAGCGCTCCGTGGCGCAGTGAAAACCCCCTGCGTTGCAGATAACCGACTTATGCTCCACGAGGCCGTGTAAATAAAATACCGATTGCTGTGGACCCTTGGCGATGCCACGAGTCCATTTTGTCCTTGTTTTCTCCTCCACAACATTTGTTACTTCTTCAGAATATTTATCTTTTATTACCACATTCCGTGCCTGTTGCTCACACGGTGGGATCGTGCCTAGCAAATATTGACACTGCTTCAGCCCGTTCCGAAACAACATTCCCGAGCTGCCCCTGATGCGGGCGAGCCATCCTGCTGCTGCCCTGCCCTGCGGGATCCGCCTGCTGGCCAAGGAAGCAGATGTGTTACTGCACTCCGTGTTTACAGTTGGCCAATGCCACAAGCAGCCAAAGAAACAAGAGTTTTTTTTGGCACTGTGGGCACATTTTAGCCAATAGCTCCCACACAGCCCCAACAGAAATGTACACAACCCGTGAGATGCCCTCCATTCATCACGTTGGCAATCTCACCAGCCTTCTCCCATGCTGGGGTTAAGGAGAGGTTCTGCACCAGGTCAGGATTCTCTCTCCTCTTGCACTTGTGAGGGCCTTCTCTGCTGCTCCTGCCCTCAGGCACAGGGAGCAGTTCCAGCGATCAGAGCCATGCAAAGCTGGCTGCAGGCACCTGGCTGTGGCACCCAATGCCAGCAGCACAGGCACATCAGGCAGCACATATTTGTGACTCAGGCCAGGTGTTCTGTTATTCAGCTGCAAAGCAAGAATGCACCCTCACTGCCCTGAAATCCAGCAGCCGAGAGATGATAAGGATCAGATGGAGAAATGGCACTGCCAAGGCACACAGCCTCCAGATGAGGAGAGCATCTCAGCAGAGAGCAAAGCTGGAAACATGAGGCAGGAGCTGCTGTGTGGCCAAGGGCATGCTGAGCCCCCTGGATCCAACCCCTCCCAGCCCCTCTCACACACAGCTGCAGAACCAAAGCAGCAGCCCTCAGCAGGCCCTCAATGCCCACGAACTCCAAACGTTACAATGAGAACTACGGTATTTTAAAACCCACCAGGAAAGATTATTTCCAAAGTTACCCTTGCTATACATCACAGCAGTTTTTCATGGTGGGTTTCAGAGCACCATAAGCCACAGCCACGCACAGTCCTGATGCTGCAGCTGGATTTCTGCACATACTGATGTAATCTTTTTGGCCGCCTTTTGCAAACATACCATAAAGCTCTGCTGTGCTCCCCAGGACCTCACCTCCCTGCTGCCTTTGCTAATAATGTTTATTGCCCTGCCAGAGAACAGGAAGCCTCCAGAAAATGTCAGGGGTGGCTTTATACTGGCGGATAAACAAATGCTGAGTGACCAAGGAGAAAATGTAATTTCTTCCTTCTCACGCTGAGTTCATTGGAGGAGTTGTAGTTAAACATGCAGGAGTTGTTCAGGCAGGTTGTAGATCATGGATGTGTTAACCCAGGGATGCGGAGGACCGCAGGGTCTGGGGGAAGAGAGAAAACTGCAGGTCTCCATTTGAGTGTCATGAGAGCTGGCCATGATTTCAGAGCTATTTAAGCTACTTTAATAGGAATTGCAAATCTCATTGTGGAGTCCCTTCTGTGAACGCCGCTGGTTTCTGGAGGCTGGTGTTTGTGTTTGAAGCCATTCTTCACCGAGCGTATGATCCCCGTGCAGCTGTCAGACTGCACGAGACACACCATTGCAGATGAGGTATTTCTGCATGCTGTATTCCCACTGCAATTAGAGTATATGAATGGGAAGCATTTCTTTATAAATCAGGCAGATGATTTGAAACACTTTTAATATTCACTATGGCTTTGAGAAGAAATGAGAGCTGAGCCTTTGATCAACTGCTGCCCATACTGACAGACTGGGGTGAAAGGATGACATGATGCAGTACGGCCCATCTCACGCATCTCAAAACCATGAACTGGAAGAAAAAAAAGAGTACTGTGGGTTTCCAGGCCAGAGACATGGCATGCATTCCCTCTACAACGTAGAACAAAGATTCCTGAAATGTTTTTCTAAATTCCTCATGAAGTTAGTATGTGGAATGACCACTGTAAAGCTCTTTTAACGACATCACGTGTCGTTACCCGACCTGTTTGCTTCTGACTGTGTCAGAGGGCTGTGCCTGCACTGCATCCACAGGTGCACTGATGGCTCACGCAGCTGAGCTGGTACTGTGCAAGAAGGTTTGGCTCAGAGCGTGCCAGTGGCATTAGAACTGTGTGACGAAACAAATCGTTCCCTGCGGTCACAAACCAGCTCACAACGCAGGCTTGTGGCCATTCCCACTCATCCTCCAGCACAGTCGCTGCTGCGTGACTCCATGAGGTCTCAGAGTCCTGACAGCACATTGCCCTGCTCTGCTCCCCACGCTCATTAGGTGACAGCAGGCTTACGAGCGTTGCATGCACATCACAGCACACACACATCCTTCACCACATCACAACACGCCCAGTGACTATGGTTTGTGTGAACAGCACCAAGGGAGAATGTTTCCATTGCGTTATAGAGCTTCACTCTTCTAGGCGTATAAAGCTTTGTAAAGTCCTCATTTTACAAACTGCAATTTGTATTATATGGATTTAGCCTTAGATTCAGAAAACAAACCCTGCCTCCAAGCACAAGTCCCAGTGCCTTGCATGCAGCAGGAAGGATTCTGTTCCACTGAGCAGAAAGAGGACGTTAATTGCAAGGAAAGTTGAACACCAGAACACTTTGCCTAATGGAGCACCATGCTGCTGGAAGGAGACAAGCTCAGGAAACGCAGCCTTTCTTTTCAACAGAAGAGAAAGGTAAGAGTTCAAAGTCAGCCGTGCTGCTCATTTTTGCTTCGAAATGGCCCATCCTTTCCTAGCAGCCTTTCTCTGGCTTTCCAACCCAGAAACCTAAAAACTCCATCAAACTCCTCATCTCCCGAGGGCTGTCTAAAGGCCTTCTAGCGCGGAGGAGCAAAGCTCTGACCGGCAGAGTGGGGAGATGAGATTCCTGCTCCTGCCGCGACCGAGACCGGGACAGCGGGACCGGGACAGCGCTGTCATTGCGGCTGCCAGCGCCGCGTCCCGGTTTTAGACCGCTCAGCAACACCCGCGCGCCGCTCGCCTCGGTAAAAGATCCCCAGCCGCACCGACCAGGGAGAAGGAGCCTAGCGGCCGCGCCGGGACCCCCCGGTCCTCCCCGAGGCCCGGCCGGGGGCAGGGCGGGAGCGACGTGGCGCTGCTCGGCCCCGCTCCGGCCGCCGGACCCCGCTCCGCTCCGCCCCGCTCCGCGCCCGCCGCCGCCGCGGAGCGTCCGGGGCTCGGCCGCCGCGCCATGGGTGAGTGGTCCGGGGCCGCGCTGGGGAGCGGGCGGCGGGCGGAGAGCCCCGCGGCGAGCGGCGGCCGTGCCCCGGGAGGAGGGGAAGTTTTCAGCTTTGCGACTTTTCCCGAAGGCTCGGGCTGCATCTCCCTCCCTCTCTCCCTCTCTCTCTCTCTCCCGCCCAAGTTTCCCGTCTCGTTTTTAGCACTTCCAGCCCCGGTTTCCTGTGACACGGCCCCTAAAGCCGTGCCGGGAGCGCGGGCGGGGAGGAGGGGGCCGTGCGGCGGCGGGGCGACGGAGCGCGTCCACGGGCGTCGATCGCAGTGCGTCCGGGCCGGCACCGCACCGCTGTGACCGCGGCGCTCCGGGGGCAGCCGGGCTCAGCCCGGCACCGCGCACCGCCCCGTCCTGCAGCGCAGGGCATCGCCCGGCCCGGCCCCGTGCGGCACCCGCCGAACTTTCTGTCCTAACGAGCTCTGAGTCCCGGGTACCTCGACGGCTTCAGAGCAGATCGTACAAAGTTGGATCCCGACCAGCGTTCGTGGCCTGCCCACTAAGTTAGCAGCGGCGTCTGGTTGAATCAGCGCTGGTATTTACAGCAGGGCTGAATGGATCTAAGCAAGCTGGCGGCTTGGAACGAGTGGCTTGCCCACTTCATGCAAAGACTGCTGTTCTCACTGAGCAAATATTTTTTCTGGTTATCTGTGTGATATGTGTACAAGGAGCAATGCAAACAGGGCAGGTAGTCACACAGCATAGCGGGAGGGACTGGCGTGGGGCTGCAGGGGCATAAGGAACACAAAGGAAACAGATGCATATGGACCAAATACCAGTACAAACATGGCCATCCCAGAGAAATAACCTTTATCATTGGCTGTGACTGTGTGCTGAATAGAGACACTTCCTATTAAACACAGCTTGTGGGGTGGGGGGAGAAAGCCCGTAGGCAATAGTGAGGGAAGTTTTCCATGGTCTGGTGGATGTGTCCACATTCTTTCCACACACAGTTTGCTGAAGCAGTGAATATTTCTAATTAAACAAAGCCAATGTGTGAATACAGATAGTATTACATGCTGGAAACCAGTGTAGAACAGCACAAACTTGCACGTCAATGTACCCTACCTGTGCCTTCAGAACTGGGCTGGGAGAAAGAGGTCACTGTCACTGCTTTTGCCCCAGGATCCCATGGCAGCAGGGGCTCTGTGTGTGCTCCCCCCTGCCATGCTGAGCAATGTGACTCATGGCTCGCACATGTTTGCTCTTTCATCCTCTCTGCAGGGTGAGATGTGTGTGCAGCAAGCACCTTGTTTTTGTAGGGTTGTTTGGGGCGGGTTGGTCGCTTTGGGTTTGGTTTGGTTTGCTTGTGCTGCTGTTTTTTCTTATTTTAAGTAAGCTGAAGTACTTAGGAAAGTTGCATGCTCAGCTGTATGAGAAAGGCAAGGTCAAGGAATCGTTCCTTGTGTTTGGGGCAGACAGCAGGGTGCTTTTAGGTTGTGAAGACATCCTGCAGACCTGGATCAGCCTGAGAAAGTTGGCCTGGTTGGGGATCATGGGCACCGAGCCCTGGAGAAGGAGAGGTAAAGAAGTCAGGGCCATGCCACAGAATAATGCCAGGAGTGCAAGATTAGATAGGAGAAAAACTCTGGTGAGCAGCACTGTCATCTACATTATTCATTCACCTTTATTTATTTCCTACAAGTCAGATCTTTTTCCTTACTCATTAGGTTTCTCTTGACTCCACTCTTGACACTGCCCAAATTCACTCACTCATACTCAGGGCAGACACAGCACTGAGGGGCCAGGCAGGAGCTGAAGGTTGTGCCCCTGGCAGCAGAAGGCTTTCTCTCTGTTGTTTCCCTCTTACACAACAAGAAATATAATTTAATCCCCATCACCACCTTAGCAAAGTTTGACAAAGAGTCTCTACTTCCCTCAGCCTCATCCCAGCATTTGTTCCTCCCTGTGCTGTGAAGAGCAGCCATCAACCTCCACTAAACTGCCAAGCAGTGATGTAGTTAATGCTGCTATTTTCTTTACCAATTTTTTTTTTTTTTTTATTTCCTTAAATTTCCAACTTAGGTTGAAGTGCTTGTGGCATTCAACAGCTCTCACTGCAGGCTTTGCATTCCTGCTCTTTACCTTGCAGTCCTGAAGTCTGAAGATTTTCTTGTTAGTGAGATATTAGAGCCTGGAGTTGTTATTGGGCTGCAGTTCTGAGGGAATCTGCACACTGGGGTAGCTCTTCTGGCCACATAATCACATAATAAATAGAGCCCTACCTTTAGAATACTGCCTCACTGATGAGGAGATGTTAAAGGGAAAACTTCTGCCTTGTTTGCTGCCATTCATAAATTATCTAAAAGATACAGAGGAAGGAAAAGAGATGAAATGTTGTTCACAACTTACCAACTTGGCCAAGCATTTCTCTCATTGCCTGGGCTCAGGTAGGGGAATGGAAAAGAAGATGGCTGATGGAAAAGAAGATGAGGATCCATATGCCATCCGTATGCCATCAGGTTGCTCAGTAACTTTGTATTTCTGTGATAAATGCTTAATGACAATAAAAGTAAAGTTCAGAAGCAACAGCTTCTGTGGGTGAATGTAGGATGTCCAGGGACTGCTTGGCAAAGAGCAGGGCCTTCTTGGATGAGCTTTGGGGAAAATGCATTGCATGAAGGGCACTGGGCAGTGGCACCTGTATTGTTCAGAAACAAGAATTGTGCAGAGCTTGAAGGATGAATTAGATATGAAATTGGAGGATAAGTAAGAATGAGCAATAAGAATGGGACTAGGCCAGGGCAGTTCTGTCCCAGTGCTGATCTGTGGAATTCCCCACTGGTAAGGGATGCTTCTTTTCCTATATATCATGGACTGAAACTTTGTAATGGTAATGCAGAGCAAATTAAAACCCAGCAAGTAGAAACTGCATTCCCTTCCCTGAACAGTTCTTGTAACTAGAACCAAGAAATAGAGACCTCAGAGGGTCGCATGTATAACACCAGAGAAGCAAACCATGGTCTGTGACTTAAATACAACTCTTAACAGCACAGCTGTTAACACAGCCCTATTTTCACAGTTCTGAACCCAAATAAGTGTCACTGCAGTCCATGGCAATGTGTGCAGGGCTGGTGGGTGGTGAGAGTGTGTGCACATGCCTTTGCACATGACCTATGATTGGGGTGGAAATTCCTTATTGTAGCTTTGTAGATAGAAAACTTTGGGTGTCCTGGAGGAGGTTTTTGCAGATTGTGTGTGCTGATAGCTTTCTGCTAGAGCCAGAATACTGAACCTCACTTTGCTTACTTGTTTTCCAGGTCGTGCACTGCTGGTCCTCCTGTTGTCTGCAACAGTCTCTCTTCTGGGCGGGCTGATATTTGGATACGAGCTGGGGATCATCTCTGGAGCACTGCTGCAGCTGCAGGCAGACTTCAGCCTTGGCTGCTTCAAGCAGGAGGCTCTTGTGAGCTCCCTCCTGGTTGGAGCCCTCCTTGCCTCCCTGGTCGGAGGAATCCTCATTGACCACCATGGACGGAGGAGGGCGATTCTGGTCAGCAATGTGGTCCTGTTATTTGGCAGCCTTATTCTCACACTGACCAGGTCGTTTATTGGGCTGCTCATTGGGCGCATGACGGTGGGCTTTGCCATCTCTGTCTCATCCATGGCCTGCTGCATCTATGTCTCGGAAATGGTGGCTGCACATCAACGAGGGCTGCTGGTGTCTCTGTATGAAGCGGGCATCACTGTAGGCATCCTGTTGTCCTACGCACTGAATTACACCTTTGCAGATACGCAGGAGGGATGGAGGTACATGTTTGGGCTGGCCATGGCCCCAGCAGCCATGCAGTTCCTCAGCATCCTCTTTCTCCCAGTGAACCCTGTTAAACTAAACACGTGGGACTCGGACTGC